ATCTGAACTGGGGCCCTGCTGCTCAGAGCTGGCGTCCCAAGCCAACTCTTAACCAATGCGCCACTTGGCCGGCCCAGGCCCCTATCTTTTTCTGCTTGTAAGATAAATAACAAGAATCAAAATCTTATCAATTGAGGGCAGCTAAAGATGGAGGAACTTCTGATGTGTAGTTTGGGATGTGGCTACACTGTTGTCCTGGCTTATGCTGCTAAATGAGCTGCGAGACTTGTAATTCCTCAGCAGTAGTATGAAATCCTCAAAAACAGAATTCCTCACCACAAAGGGCATTGAAACTGCAGTGAAGATTGTAAGAGAGGCCAAAAAAAAAAATGGGCTGAACTCAAAATACTGAATAAGATTTGAGAAGTTAGGGCAAAAACATAAATTAGCATAGGTGAAAGCACACACTCTGAAAGACAGAGGAAAGGACATGCACACGGTAAAGGAAAAAAGCTACTCACGCAAAATCTTACTGGAAAACCAAAGCCTAGCCACAAGATGGAGTTCAGATTGTTCCCAGGAGGCAGGTCAAACGCAAAGTAAAAGTAACAGTATCTTCTTTTCCCGGAATTAAAAACCAGGAAAGGTAAGCCCCGGCCTTCAGGTGAACTCGTAAGGACAATGGCACTGTATTCATTTCCTAATGCTGCTACAGCAAATTACCATAAACTTAGTGACTTAAAACAACACAAATTTATTATCTCACAGTTCTGGAGGTCAGAAGTCTAAAATGTCAGGGTCGTGATCCTTCCGTAAGCTCTAGGGGAGAACCCATTTCCTTGCCTTTTCCAGCTTCTAGAGAGTACCTGAATTCCATGGATCGCCTTTCCCTCTTCGAAGCCAACAATCACATCACCCCCACCTCTACTTCAGCCCGCACAGCACTTGCTCTGACTCAGACCCTCCTGAGTCTCTCTCATACTCTTGTAATTACATTCGGCTCACTTGAATAATTCGGGATGCTCTGAACATCTGCAGGTCCTTAATTTAATCATATTAACAAAGTCCCTTGAACCATGTAAGGTAATAGGTTCACAGGTTCTGAGAATTAAGACGTGGATATCTTTGAGGGCACCATTATTTTGACTGCCATACATACCAAAAGATAGGTTTCAATAAGAGGTTGCCTTGACAGCAAAGAAACCGTAAATGTCTTAAACAGGTTCATGTCATGCAAGAGCAATACATGACTGCTATCCTAAATTCACCTTCTCCATATAGAGTGTAAACCCTGGGTTCCCTTGAAACATAATAAAACAGTGTGCATACCAGAAAGCAGCATAATGCCTGTGCTATATATACTACACTGAATACTGTCAGGGAAGAGGCAGACAGAAAAACTGAAAGAGGAAAGGATATGAATTTTGAAAGCTTAATTAGAGAAAATCTTCTAATTTCCCAGCCGTAGAAAATGACACAGAGAAGCTCAGAAACCATACACGACCACAGCTGAGAAACTTTCTATTCGAGTACGTCTCTAA